ACGTCACAGTCGCGCTGCCACCGTTTTAGTATCAACATCAAGTTCCCTCAGCAGTGCTGAGTCTGTCTGTAATGAGATGAAGCCGTAACCGATCCAGCAAAGTCAGTAAAACACACTTTAAACACTTTTAAATCTCATTTTAAAGCGTATTAACTGATATATTTGAGTGTATTGGCTTGATCTTATTTGATTGGTTGCTGTAGTGATTAACAAATCAAAGCTGAAATCTAAACGGCTGAGATTTCCCGCTGCGTTACTGGCGCCCCGTCCCAAACCGCACACCATCTCACTATATAGTGTGTAAAAATAGTGCATATCCCAGTAGAAGTGCACTCGTTAGTGTAGTAGGTGAAGTACAGAAGTGTGTGGTTTGGGACGCGGCGCTAGATCAGCCAGTGAGACGCGTTCAACAGCTGCTCTGCTGAGCTGCTCATTAGCTGCTCATTAAACACCTCCAAGAGGAAGTTTGAGGGGTTTGTTGATTAAAGAGATTTTATTGAGGTCAATTAATACATTTATTAGCTGCAGTTGCTTCGTATTCAACAACTTTCATAATTTTGTCTCCGTTTAAGGCGCCTCAGTGTAACTGCAGCTCCATTTAAGGTGGAACGGAAAGTTCAGATGAGAAGCTGGTGATTAAGAAGCTACTTCAGCTTTATTTGTGTATCTGAGTTCATTATTTAATAGTTTTGGCAGTTTTGCCTGCCACTTTTATTAGTTTTTATAAAATATCTCACACTGGAATGTTCTGAACTCTGGAGAAATGCAGGTGATACGGATCCACCGATCTAGATCATCTTCTCCTCGTAGTGTTTCTGGAGACGCATCTAAAGCGTCTACATATCTGTTCATGTGTTTGTGGTCATTCTGGTCTGTTGTGTTGGTGTTTATCTCCTGCAGGGCTGTATCTGCAGTAACGGTGATGAGACGAGCTCCATCAGAGCTCAGAGCTACAGCTCACCTTCCAACATGGCGACACGGACTTCTTAATGCAATACAATACAATACATTATGATACAAAGTGACCGCAGTGTAGCCGGATGGTAAAAGCCCGTACCGGCTCTGTGATTCACCTTGACTCCTGTAATGAGTAATAACAGATGATGTAATTGGTGGAGATGTTAATGGAAAATCCAGGCGAGTCAATACAAGATCTCTGTCTGCAACCAGGGGCTGAAAACGTCTCTACTAATATTACATGATCTGTCAACGCTGCAGCTGCATCTACGCCCAGTTCTGCTTTACACACCAACACAAAACCACAATCACCAAACTAAGGGTCAGAAAAGAACCGGAATTCAGGGCTAAAGTTAACAAAAACAAAAAAACATACAAAAAAAACACAGAAATGTAAAATTTCTGATATTCTGGGTGTTTTGCTCTAATTCTATTCTAAACAGGTTGGTTTGACTGAGTTTACAGGAAAAAAGCCCACTTATTTGAACATGGGTGTGTCTATATGATAAGCCCCGCCCTTAATTTTGCGCACTGACACCGGTTTCCACAACAGACAGTAAACTAGAGATGCTCTGAAGAGCCACACAGTTCTACATTTATATATATTTCTATATACTGCATTGATACTGTAATTATTGCACCTTTACCTGCTACATACAACGAATATATCTTACGTGTAGAAATGAATTTTTAATTTATTTTCCATTTACGCAGTAGTTTACTCAAATTCCTACTGCCTTCATGGAAAACTAGTTGCTAGGCTGCAATACATTTTGTTAAATAATGATATTTTTTAATATAATATATACAAATACATATTATTTTAGGCTATGAATGAGAACTGGCCAGTGCGGACACTCAACCATACTAACACCTCACACATATAAAACGTCTATAGACATATAGAGCAGTTCATAATTAGTACAGTTAATTACGGTCATGTGCAAAAGTTTGAACACCCCCTGTCAAATGACATGTGGAAATAAGTGAACACATCCTCTACAGAGAACACGCCTAAATATGACATTTTCATGCTTATTTTAGTGCAAAATTTCTATTTATTTGAAATTTAATGCACCATAATCTTTAGACGTGCCACGTATCGCTGCTGTCAGAAGATTTCCTCCATTTTTGTTGTTTTTCAGTTTCTGACATAATTTGAAAATACCTGTTGCTCTTTATATTGTGTGTAAATTTCATGATGAATGGACTAAAAGAAACGGCCCAAAATGACTTGGAAAAAGATTCTGGTTCCATTGACTTACATTAGAAGTAAAGTAGGTTTTTTCCCTCTCCTGTAAAGTTACCATTGTGGAGATACAAGGTTTTCCTCCAATAACAGAGACTGTTAAGTGTGTGTTACGTTATTATGTTTTAATTGTTTACAGTATGTTAAATTCAGTAAATAAACAGTAACTGTGTATTAAAAATGTGCAGAAGTGTGTCTCTGTAGAGGACGTGTTCACTAATTTACACTTAGTCAACAGCCATGTGGAATTTGATCAAATCTCAAGGTAGATAACAAAGTAGATCATTTTTGCAGCACATATTTATCATTTTAATCACAGAATTGCTAAAAAGTTGAATATAATGTCTAAAAATACCTTTCAGTGAAAAGCCTGTGGTATTTCCACCCACACACTATAAATTATTGTATATAAATGAATATGTATATATAATGTATATATTTTTACACCATTAGAAAACGCCGACTGTCCTTTACATAGTGTGACCAGTTTATGGTGAATGGACCAACAGAAATGTATTTGGAACAAAATCACACTGACTATTTCAGATATGGACATTAATAGGACATTAATAATCGCAGCCTTGTGACCAAAGGCAGGTGGCACAAAATCTCAAATTTGGGATTATTATGGTTCGATTCATTGAGTAGTTTCAACAGCACGACATCTGAGCGTCTCAAATCTCCACATCAGTCAGGCCGCAGCACAAGATGGAGACAGGAAACTGCCACCAGCGACTGAGGCAGCACGTATGTACAGCTGCCTACGCTGAACTAACCCAGCGCCAGGAGTCATAATGAAAAGGTGTGACACACATAGCACTCCTAATAAGATGGTTCTTCAATGGTTCTTTAGTAAAGGTATTTAGAGAGTCCTACATATAAGTATTTTATGTTTAAATGGTTCTTTGCATGGTGAAAAGGTTCTTTAGATTGATGCCGTATAAGGTTCAGTATAGAACCTTATCGAAAATGGTTCTGTATTGCACCAAAAAAGGTTCTGCTACGGTTACGATGTCTACACAACACGTTCTCCATCAATCTGAGGGACAGTTTCACCATGCAGAGAACCATTCAAGCATGAAATGGTTCTGTATAAAACTCCTGATTCAAAATAGAACCATTCCTTTTTTCTAAAGAACCATTTTAGGAGTGTAGAGCACGGCACAGGGCCTGTTACTGTTCTAGAGTTGCTGTTTTAATCTTAAAAAAGCTAAATAAACCTGTTTGGTTTAAAAGTTTGATTTCACTGAACTTCACAAAAGTGGACAGGATGTGAGAAAGACTCTTATTCTGTAATCTGACTGACTGTTACGGCTTTAATGAAGTTCTGTGAGATGAAAGCAAACATATTTTGTCAGCGTTGCCTAGGAAACCATGTCTATTTAAAAGTTCTTTGTGGAATCTGTGACATTAAAGCGGACTGAAGATCATCTCGGCCCTCCTGTTCCAGCTCGGCTATTTCAGTTTCAGGCCCCACCACGCCTTTTGAACGGAAAATTGCGCTATGTTTTCGTCCACCCGTTTACCGACAAGCCCCGCCCCTCCTGCGCTCCAATTGGCCGGGCATTCGCGCATCAGCGGCTCTGCAACGCGTTGCCTAGCAACAAGCTCCACCCGCCCGCCGCCCGCTCCGGCGTTCTAGAACAGGCGGCTTGCTCGGAAGTAGCCAATCCGAGCGCTGAGGAGGCGTGGCTTGCCGTAAAACGGGCGCGAAAAGAAAGCACAAAAAAGCACGATTGCGCCATTAAGTTCCTTCCGGCCCCTCCCCCTAGCGACGAACCAGAGAAACTCGCAACGTCGTCAAGTAACGTTACCGTTAGCAGCGCTTTGATTCCGGTAATCGCCAAAAAAGTGATTTTTTAGTGTTTCTAAACGCACAAAAGTGGTCAAAACGAGCCAAACACGACACACAAGTCCTCATCTGACTTTATCTGATGCCCCGAAACCGGTTTAAAAAGGAATAAACGAAAAAAGCGAGGTTGTTTCGTGGTTTGACGCCGAATAACGGTTCATCATCTGAGGAGGGAAAAAACACGACAACAAAAGGCGCATCCGGCCGCTAAGGCTAACATCAGCGCCGGCGTTTCAATGTGAACTCTCGCTTAAACACAAAAAACAGAGGCCGCGTTCGAGAAAAGAGGACATAAAAGAGTTTAATCGCACCAAAAAAGTACACTTTAAGCCTCAAAAGGTGATCCGGAGAGACATTTCCCTTCTCTCGGGTCTCTCATCTGCTCACTCATTGAGCCTCTGCTGAAAGCAGAGCTGTTCGGTGAGGAGAAAAAAGAGCCCCCAAAATGCCGACCTGACCGCTGGTCCTCCTCTATATCGGCTTAAAAATGGACAGTTCCACCTTAAATCGGGCTGCGGTTACATTCTGGCGCCCGAGGCTTCCCATTCGCCAGCTTGTTGTTCGAATTCTCCCGTTCCACCTTAAATGGTGCAGTTACATTCTGGCGCCTGAGGCGTCAGAGTGTAACTGCTGCACCATTTAAGGTGGAACGGAAAAGTTCGAACAACAAGCTGGCGAATGGGCAACCAACTTCAGCATCGGATGTCTTAGAGTACTGATACAAGATTATAGCAAAAGAAAAGCCCAGCATCTCACTGGATTAATACCGTTCCACCTTAAATGGTGCCGAAGTTAAAGTTACATTCAGACGAACGTGTCCCGAATGCGCATCTTTCCACAGTTAAACCGTTTTAAAGCATTATGTTGCACTTTTAGCGCTCAAAAACGCACAGAATACGACCAAAAAGACGTTTTTGACGCGTTCAGGTCGTGTTTACTCACCGTTTTCGGCATCTTGTCGTTGTTTTAGAGCTGAGCGATGAGGCGAAACTGTTGCTGCTCTGATTCAGATGAAGAGTCTCCGAACCCGCCCTCAACTCGGAACTGCAGAAAGCGGCACGCAGGACGGCTCCACCTTAAAAACGGCTTCAGCACACACAGCGGGCCGCGGGCGATCAGCCACTCAAAAACAATCTCTAATTATTTATTAAGATGTCTATTTCGCTGTCTGTCTCCCCGCGCTGTGTCCGGCTGCGTGTCTCTCTCTCTCTCCCTCTGTCTCTCTCTCTGTGTAACGGATCTGAGTGTTGAAGCCACACCCAGCGGTGGTGGCGCTAGAATTCCAGCGCGCGGAGGGAGATCCCGGGGATGACGTCATGCACATTTACAAATCCCCCCCTCCAAAAAAAAACGACATTCCGAAGTAATAGAGAGAGAGAGAGAGAGAGAGAGAGAGAGAGAGAGAGAGAGAGAGAAAGAGAGAGAGAGAGAGAGAGAGAGAGAGAGAGGGAGAGAGAGAGGGAGAGAAGGGATGGAGAGAGAAAAAAGACAGAGCGTGACAGAGGGGGAGAAAAAAGAGAGAAAAGGAGTGACCAGAGAAGAGTAGAGAGGAAAAAAGATGAGAAAGTGAGAGACATACTCAGAGAGGAGGGAGAGAGAGATAAATACACAGAGAGGAGAAACAGAAGAGAAAGAAAAAGAGAGAGAGGGAGAGAGATAGAAAGATAGCGAAAGAGAGGGAGAGAGAGAGAGGGAGAGAGAGACAGAAAGCAATATATATATAGAGAGAGAGAGAGAGGAGAGAGAGAGACAGATTGAGAGAGAGAGAGAGACAGATAGAGAGAGAGAGGGGGGGGAGAGATACTTTGACTTTTAACCCCCTTTTATTGAAGCATTATTAATTAAAGGATGTTACATCCTACAGTAAAGAGCTAATAGTCATATTAATAATAATGAGGATCCCCAAAGAGAATCCACCCATCCACAAAGATTCACCAATGAAATGATGTCACACTCAGATCACTGAGAGATACAACACTTTCACCAGCTCACCACTCTTTCTCAAAACAGGAAATGTTCTGAGGGCTTTGATAAAAAAACAAATTCAACTCTAATGCGCGATTCCACCAGAGCTCGGAACATCCACCTCCTGCCCTTCAGACACCGACCTGGACTTCCACACTGATAACTTCGCTTGTCCCACTAAGAAATTAGCCAAGGTACCTTTATAACGCTGAGCTTTAGAGAATTTACAGCCAAAGATAAACAGAGTCCGGGTGAACAGGAACCCCAGCCCTCTGAGCGCTCTGTCCAGGAGCTCGAACAGAGCAACCAGCCCTCGGAACGCCCTGTCCAGGAGCTTGAACAGAGCAAACCAGCCCTCTGAGTGCTCTGTCCAGGAGCTCGAACAGAGCAACCAGCCCTCTGAGTGCTCTGTCCAGGAGCTCGAACAGAGCAACCAGCCCTCTGAGCACCCTGTCCCGGAGCTCGAACAGAGGAACCAGCCCTCTGAGCGCCCTGTCCAGGAGCTCGAACAGAGGAACCAGCCCTCTGAGCGCTCTGTCCAGGAGCTCGAACAGAGCAACCAGCCCTCTGAGCTCTCTGTCCAGGAGCTCGAATAGAGCAACCAGCCCTCTGAGCACTCTGTCCAGGAGCTCGACTAGATGAACCAGCCCTCTGAGCGCTCTGTCCAGGAGCTCGAACAGAGCAACCAGCCCTCTGAACGCCCTGTCCAGGAGCTCAAACAGAGCAACCAGCCCTCTGAGCTCTCTGTCCAGGAGCTCGAATAGAGCAACCAGCCCTCTGAGCGCTCTGTCCAGGAGCTCGACTAGATGAACCAGCCCTCTGAACGCCCTGTCCAGGAGCTCGAACAGAGCGACCAGCCCTCTGAGCGCTCTGTCCAGGAGCTCGAACAGAGGAATCAGTCTTTGACAGTCGGAAAAAGCATGGAAAACAGTATCAGTGTTATTACAGAAAATGTAAAATGGTTGAACAGCCGGGTTAAATTTTGACACAAACCCATTTGTGGGTACAGCACAGTGAAGGATCCTCCACTGGAGATCTCCTGAACGTTTGGGCAAGGGGCTTTTGTGCAGGAGCCTCCATGAAGGCCGCAGACCCTCAGGGACAGAGAGATGGGCTCTCCATTTGGAGTCACATCTCTCCTTCAGCCAATGAAAGTGCAAGTATTTAACACAGCTCTGGTACAGAACCCTCTTTCCAGCTGCTGAGAAAGGCAACTTCTGTAACCCACTCACAGAGAGAAGCTGCCCCTCGGTAATCCTGGGTTCGGAAACAGAGGGGCTGACAAAAAACTCTGGAAATAGCATTTCTGCCAATCCACCAGCCACAAAAGCCTTCAGAGGCGGAGGCAAGGAAGCTCCCCAATCACTCAGTCTGATTTAAAACCGATGTGCTGAGTTAAAACCACAGCTGATCGCCACTCTCCCTCCCCCAAATCAATCAGACGTCGAATACGTGTTACTCCTGCCTTCGTAAAGGCGGTAGCGATTGTGCTGAACTGGTGAAGCAGAAAGGGGTTAGAAAATAAAGGCTCATCCAGACCACAATGTGCATCGTCGTCCCTCGTCACTTTAAACAGCCCCCACGCATTTAAAACTGAACCATAAAACCCACAACCAGCTGTTTGCTTTACAATGTTCCACGGCATGAGAAAGAGCTGTTTGTCGTAACCGTGTCCTCCCCAAAAAGCAGTTTCTGTGCTGTCTGGAGTCGCATGGCCTTCACTCTGGCCAAAACCTGTATTAGCCCTTGACCTCCTTCATCCAGGGGCAGATACAGTACTCCAGGTGGAAGCCAGTGATACCCGTCCCAAAAGAAGTCTACAAAGGCCTTCTGAACATGATGCAGTAAATCCACTGGGGGTCAAAACAGTCAGCCACATCACTGAAGCAGCAAGGTTTTTAATCACCAGCGCTCTTCCCCGGGATGATAACTGAGGCAGAGCCCGTTTCCACCTCTGGGGTCTCCCCAGAATCTAGAGAGAAAGAGAGGGAGATAAAGATATATATATATATATAGAGAGAGAGAGAGAGAGAGAGAGAGAGACAGAGAGAGAGAGAGAGAGAGAGAGAGAGAGAGAGAGAGAGAGAGAGAGACTTTTAACAACACTTTATTGTAACCACATCTCACTATGGTGTGTAAAAGTCACAGCAGGCCATTTCCGCTCTCAAACCAGCACATAAAAACAAACAGCTTGCTTAATGAATACATAAATAAATAAATTAATTAATAAAAGCAAACTTCAGTTTTCAGTAATTAAAATCAGGTGCAAAGCAAAGTTCGTTGTCTAAAAGCGAGCACACCGCCTCCCCACAGCACCACACCACTTTAAACGTCTCCAGGTCAGACATGCACTTATAGTAGTTCAAATCAATTAGAACCCTTGATTTGACCAGTCTAGAGAAGGTTCTCACTACGCCGGAGTCAGCCGCCTGTGCCACACGGTTTCTCAGACTCATGTACACTGCCCTGTTTGGCCTGACCAAGAATAAAATGAATCAACTGGCCCTTGAACCTCTCTCTCTGGACATATTTAAAACCAAGGATAAAAGTATGAGCTGTAAAAACCACATTAAAAGACATAAACAGAGTCTTTAAAATGTCAAAAAGGGGACGGAGCCTAAAACAGTGCATAAAAGCGTGAAACACCGTTTCCCTCTTAAAACAAAAAGGACATTCCGGAGTGACCTCTGGATCTAAAACAGAAATAAAAGAGTTAACAGAAACAATGCCATGTAAAATCCTCCACTGCAGATCTGCCACTTCTTTGGTTAACGGTGGTTTATACAGTGCTCTCCATTGTGGCTTCACCTCGTCAGCGAGACCCAGAGCATCTCGCCACGGCGTATCAGGAGAGAGAGAGAGAAAGAGAAAGAGAGTGAGAAAGAGATAGAGAGGAAGGATATGTATCTCTCTCTCTCTCTCTCTCTCTCTCTCTCTCTCTGTCTCTCAAGTTCAAGTTCAATAGTGCTTTATTGGCATGAATGTAATGAAATACTCTGTTGCCAAAGAGGTTAATAAGAAACACGTTAAATAAATAAGAATAAGATATAGATATATGATATAGATTATAATAGAACACTAGAAAATAAGTTACTTACAGGGTTATTAGTAATCAAAGAAAAAGAAAAGGAAAATAAGAGTCAAGACAAATTTCAGGATATATAATAATCAGTAATAATCAATATTAGTTATTTGTTTATTCTCACTGGTCGTCCTGGATATCACACCCAGATCACTGACAGATACAGTACTTTCACCAGCACACCACTTTTTCTCAAAACAGACAGAGAGAGAGAGGGAGAGAGAGAGGGAGAGAGAGAGAGAGAGAGAGAGAGAGAGAGAGAGAGAGAGAGAGAGAGAGAGAGAGAGAGAGAGAGAGAGAGGGCGTTTGTTTCTCTTTATTCAGGGAAAGGAGAAGTGAGATCACACTAAGTCTGACTTAAATGATCTGAAATAACACAAACTCAGTTGTGTGACTATCGGCAGAGTGAGCGGGGCAATTCACAGAGGCCTTTACTATGGGAGGGTTACCGTGGTGACCAGACCCTCAACATCTCTTCTGGACCCCTCATATCACCACTTATACACTTTTATGTGTTTTTAATGTACCAAAAACATAAATACTGAACATAATTCAGGTCTATATGACCATTTCTAGCTCTCTTCATCTGTGAGATCTGTGAGTGAATACTGTGAGAGCGCCCCCTGCTGTTTATCAGAGCGTCGCCGCTCCCCAGTTTCAGTCACCATTTCCCAAACGCTTTAGCCGAGCGCGCTAACGTTACTCCTCCTAATAAACAGACACACGTTCAGCTCCGTCTCCTCATTATTCACCACCATCACTGTAATATTTCATCATCAACATTAACACACGAAGGTGATCAGAGGGGCGGTGGAGATCGAGTCTGCAGCGTCTGAGATCTTTAAAACGCAGAGTTAGAAAAGAAAATCATCTCACAGTGAAAGCAGCGTTTTACAGTAGAAATAAATGGAGCTCATTATGCTGGTAGTGAACTATGCTGCTGACTCAGCTGCCTAAAAACCATAGAAACGGACCTTAAACAGAAGTGAGGACCCTGTTGGGGTTCATCCTAAAGTTAGGACAGGATTTAGGAGGTTTAGTCTAGTTAGGATGTTTGTGTGATGCTGTTTTCTTATCTGGAGTTCATGATGAGATTATGAAGTTACTGTTATTCTGTAATAGATACTGTCCTGAATTCAGTCTGTATTGAAGTCGTCATGGAGACTAAACAGATCAGATTACAGAGTTTAAATGGTTCTGTAATGCAGTTCCAAGATCTGTTATAACTGATTCGGTGAGTTTCTCTACAATGAGCCGTTTACCAGCAAAACACTCTGCATGATTTTATGTACACTTCAGTCACTGAATTAGGTAGAAATTTTGAAAAATCAGTGAAATTGCCCTTTTAATATTCCTGTCTTGTTCTAATTTGTATGAGAATAGTTTAGCAGTAGAAAAGAACTGTTTTCTCTCGTCTTATATACAGCAGGTGTATATAAAACAGGATTTATTTTATTATTATTACATATTTTTTATATCATTTACTGATAATTAACTTTTTTCTTTCTTGTTATATACCACATATGTACAAAAACAGGTTTTGTATTATTATTATATATTATTTTATATCATTAATTGATAACTTTTTTCTCTCGTTATGTACCGCATGTGTATATAAAACAGGTTTTATTTTATTATTATATATTATTTTGTATTATTTATTGATAACATACTTTTTTCTCTTTAATTGTCATATTCTTATATATCAATCTCATGTTCTGTTATTTTACCTGTAATATTTAGATAATTGCTGCAATACTTTAAGAATACAGATGTAATTTTGTTATGTCAGTAAAACAAACTTGAATCCTCACTATAATATAAATGCACAGGTGTCATTTATGCATTTATATCAGGCAGTGAATTCATGACCATCATGTAGTAACTTTCCGTGAGGGAGCTTTTGGAGGTGGACGTCTGGTTCCTATCACCACCACTGTGAACAATTTCTCTAGAACAGAGCGTTTCACACCAAACCACTCTGTTTACATCTTATCCATTTAGCTATGCAGAAATTTTGAAAAATCGGTGGAGTCCTCCTTTAATATAGTCTGGGTTTCAAATGCTGAAATGATACTGCCACTTCTTGATCCCTTAGGGTGTCTATCTGTCTCCTCCTCTACACTATACTTTCATTATCATTGTGTTTTTTTTCTTTGGGGGGACATTTTCTCACAGTCAACTATACAACTATAATAATATTGGATTATTTTTGTCGTACAATTAATATTTTAATACCAAAACAAACAAAACCTACACATTTTGAACTAAAACTAGGCCTGAACTGCTCAATACAACACTAATACAAACAAAACAGCACTCAGAGGAAGAGAACAGACAGAGAGAGAAACAATGAGCAGAGATAATGAAAAGAGCGGGAGAGGAAGTGAGAGAGGAGGAAGCGAGAGATAGAGAGAGAGTCACAGTGGAGTTGGAGAGACATAGACAGAGTGAGAGAGAGAGAGAGAGAGAGAGAGAGAGAGAGAGACAGAGAGAGAGAGAGAGAGAGAGAAAGAGACAGAGAGAGACAGAGAAACAGAGAGAGAGAGAAAGAGACAGAGAGA